CTTTGACGTCGGTCGGCTCGCGTTGCTGCTCGTAGCAGGAGTGTTTGTCAATCTTCCGTGGGCATGCATTCCTCAATCGCGCTGCCTTCATCCTGCGTTTGCGCGGGCGCTGTGGTTCGTCCTGCTTCTTGTCTCCTGAAGCAGAGTCAGTTGGCTGCTGGTGTTGCTGAAGGTGCGTCCCTTTAGTTGTAATTGGCCTTTTGCGTTTCTGTGTTGTCCCGGGTTGAGGGCTGTGCAATAAAAGTGGCATCATAATCTCCAAGAAGTCCTCCATATTGGCTATAAGGTATTTGTGCAGGTACCTGAAGAAAACCCAGATCAACAGGCACGATCGCATGCGCGCAGAAACTATGCATATGCATTTCCAGCCATGTTGCAACAGTTTATATATTTGGGGTCTAGCTTCTAGCGTCTCATGCCCAATTCTAGACCTTGACCGTGAGTACACGCTTGCTGTCACTGCTTATGCACCTTAGCATCTGGGTGAGGCACTGAAAGAGCTGCTGAACTCCTTCGGCATCGTGTTGGTCTTCTAAGTCGAAGATGAGGAGCTGTAGCGCCCCTACGCAAACTTCCAGGTACACGAGGAATTCCTGACGCAAGTCCTGCACACATGTGAGAAAAGGCGGCGAGAAACGTCACCTGCGAAGGTGAAGGGGCAGACTCTGTAGACGGAGCGAAACGGTGAAAGCTACGAAAGAAGGCATTAAGTGCAAGTTTACCTTCGCAAGTGCTGGTAGCAGCTGTAACACAACACTATAGGTGTCCTGACTTCTTAGATGGTCCAGCAAAATCTGCATGACCTCTTTCTGCTGCAGAATTAACAGTGGCACCGACGTGGCGATGTCTTTTAGCTGTACTAGCAAGTGACGAGCAGGGCCTCGGGCCTCAACACCTTGCAAAATGTGTTCCACAAGGCGCGAGAAATCGCTCTCTTCTCGCTCTGCTCGCAAACGGACAGAGACACATAAACTTTACCATCGTGATACCTATTACGCACGAATGCTCCGGAAACGGATAGCAGGCTGACAGTTGCGTGGAAAGACCTCGAAGGCGGCACCGCAGAAGGCAGCACCAGGAGACAGCACGTGCAGTGGAAGTTGGCGCCAAGCATGAAATTTTAGGGCCATTTTATTCTTTCCTACCAATGCGTTTATGATGCTGCTCGACCTCATGTTCATCTGCTCCTTCCCTCAGTCTTTTCCATGTCCGTCTTTTTGCGGTTGTGGAAAGATCTATGACATCCAGGGCAGTCAGGTTTTGGGGTCCTGACTGCCCCTGTTGTAGCTGCACCTGCAGCTGTTGGCGAAAAGTTTGAAACACATACTTTCCACTTGATGCATCTCGTACCTTGCTGCCCCCGCCGCTACGGGGTTCAGCTGAGGTAGCAAAGGCAGAGACGGGGGAGTTTTTCTCGCTACTTGGGGCTCTCACAGTCTTGCGCAGATCATTACCTGCGGAGCCAGACTTCTGCTCTCTAGACGATGACACAGGGGCAATGCTTCGCGAAGGCGAAGGTCCCTCATTATTCCTCGAAAGGCTGGAACTACTGGGGGCCCCCATCTCCCCTGAGGGGCTGACAAGAGAATCCCATGCAACAAAGAATTCAAAGATTCGAATGAAGTGAAGTGAGACTGACGTGCAGAGAACAGAGCCAAAAATTCAAATATGGCGGATACTACGAAGAAAAGCTTCTGGGGGCCCCCTTGCTGTGTTGGCTGCGGCTGTACCGTGCAGGCCCAGTTCACTGTCTGCAATTAATTTTTTAGCTGCCACGTAAATTCAAATATATATAAAGGAAATCATAGAACCAACTGGAGCTGTACGGGTTGGATCTTCAGTGATCTGTGGGGCCCCGGCCTTCTGTGGGGCAATCGAAGGACTTGCTTTGTTTATCGCTACACTTAGAGGCATGCATTGGCGTGATTTTGCCTGACTCACTAGAACTGGTTTTGCTTCAAATCGGGCTCGGCGTTGAGCTGCGCCTTCGATCCCTGGTGTGGGCTGACGTGACTCTCTGTCCTTCTGCCTATGTACTGAGCCATTCCCAGTTTCGATATCGTTCCCGTAAATACGCCTTCTAAGCACATGCTCCTTAAGCTTATTCAAATTGCACTTTTGTACGTTCGACTTTCTCATCATATTATGTAGCTTTACCCTCATTGCCGCTTCATTACAAAATGTCAAGTGTGACATCGCACTAGAAACTGCACTTCCGCGACGCAAAAGGCCGTAAGTGGCTTTCGAAATGTATCTTATGGCTAGATGAACTTTCCGCGAGTTTTATTGTGACATTTAAGCGTGACTGTCTTGGCTACCACTTGAATGGGAAAACCCGCTCATTACGTGTTTGCTTGAGAATGCATGATGCTTCCGTTTCACTTAGCGAAAAGGGATTTGAGCTCTATGGGATACTGAATTTCGTCTCTCTGTATGAACCAGTTTCGCGCAGTCTTTCGCGCCTGCACACTCCAGCGAAGTTCTGTTGATCCCATCCTCCAGAGAAGGCCACTGATATGCTTTACGGTGATGCTTGCGCGGCTGGAAAGTGCTTTAGTGCTAATATTATTACTATTTGTATAGGCTTTCTTCTTTATTAAATTGTCTGCTTGCTTTCTTAATCTACTGTTTGTGTTTAAGTAAGAACACTTGCATTGGAGAAGTTTGGTCACCTTTGTGCTTTTAGTAAGTGGTATTTGTTTAATGTCGAATACATGAAGACTATTTCAGGTAAGATAATTCAAGCGCTATTGGCTAAATATCCTTGCCCTGTGGGTTGCTCGCGATGTTAGTCGTGATGCATGAGCGCGCAAAAGAGTTTTTTGAAAGGGCAATATATCGCACTGAAGTTGCCCGGAAAGTTCCTAATTATTCAAGTAAAAACTTTTATAAGGCGATGTTTGTTCATGTACGGGGCATTGAGACCAGTGGCGCTGGTTTTCAGTCCCCTGAGAACGTCCTTTGTCAGGGGCCAGCGAACACCGTGGCGCGTACGAGACTCGCACCGATTCAAGTGGGCCCAACGCAGAAACACGCTTTTTAGATGGCTAAAAAGAGGAGCGAAAACCGCGAAAACAACATGAGGCGAAGCTAAATTCACAAAATCGGGCTTGTAGCTAATAGTGGAAAGCTTAGCAGAGCCTTTTCCTCTGAACCCACTGGTATACTTTGGAAGCTACTCTCAAGGGCCCAAAACTAGTCTATCCGTTAGTAATAACTTCTAGAATTTTCAAAGATATTTTGGTTCACTTACAGCAATACAGTGCACAGAAAATTGTGAAGCTGACTAGCTTTGCAACTGACACAACCACAACAACAATTGCGCAAACATGTCACATGAAATTTGAGACATTACTCATATTTTTAGTTTAGAAATGTCCTATATACGTGGGCTACATTATTGGAACTGCTGGAGCTGGATATAATGCTTCCTTTTACAGGTTTTCGACTTCAATAATAATACCCCCAAGAATATGGCCAATGCGTTTCCCTGGAGCAATGAAACAGCCCAAGCATTTTAACTACGAAAAGAACGTTGTGCAGTCACTCAGATCTAATAATGGCTCAATTTTATTCTCACGCCATCGGTACACTGGTATTTTTCCGCTAGAATACGTATGTTGAAGGCATTGGCGTCGGGCCAGTGAAGGACCCGTTAGCATTCACTAACTTAACACGACCAACGCTAATCTAGGGATCACATTATGGCACCTTTACATTAAGCTTCATACCTAATTGAGCTATGTATATAATGCTGACGTTCCAAATTGTCTGATGCTGGAATTGGGCTGGGATTGTGTGCTCCAATTCTTTATCTGTCTGAGGCAGAGATGAGTTGATTACTTGAGCCACCGCCCTGAAAACGTGGGCCTAAAAATAAGCGCTATAATTGCCTGGTACAAGCGCTCTATGGTGCTGAGAAAGCTGCTCGCGGAAACGATGTTGAATGTAGAAATGAGTGCAGCCCTTCTCTTGAATGTAGAAATGAGTGCAGCCCTTCTCTTGAGTGAGCAGGCTGGCAGGTATTTGAAGTACACAGTTGCAGTGTTCTAGCTGTAACAAGAACATCGTTTGGAAGTTTCTAATTTAGTGAAACTGAGGAGTTGTTGCTACGTAGTTTGAGAACCAGGGTCTTAGGCTATTCATTACTCAGTGGTCTCCCAACCTGCAGACCGCTAGAGGAAAATAGTCTTTTGACCCACATTTCAAGCTCCAAAAACTCAGAGCGGGAGCTAAACCAACCTAGTTAATTAATATGTTAGAATGAGGGTTGGGGTTGACGCTTGCTGAATTCATTGTCCAGCTCGCGGTGAATCTCCCGAAATCCGCCAAGTCAGGCGCTCCACCTCTTCAGAGCGACCAATGGTACCGGTCTATTGACTTCTTGTTTGGGAGCAAGCTACCTGAATTTTGGTGTTTTGGCTAGTTTCCTAGCAGTTTTTCATTTTTTAGTATTTTTACGCTGAATTCCATGCTTTAGGCAGTCAAAAACAGTGTGCTTCGCTCCACCCGACCTGGCGGCTGCAGGTAGTGGAGGCCAGCGTGCACAGATGAGTGGTGCAAAATCCAAGGTGAAAAGCACATTTAGTGCTTTTTTTTCTGTTACAGTGGTTGATTGAGGGAAAACACTCATCGCAGGTTCCTTTCCAGAGGAAGAAAGGGCTGACCATTGCCACCACCTGGCGACACCCAGGGCCGAAAAGATAAACGGAGCAGCAGGACCAAGAAACGGGCGGCCCACCGCGTGTCACTTATAAAATCAAGAGAAAGGACTCTTCCATAAAACTGTATCGTAGTCGATTTTTTCGGTGAGAATCAAATACCTAAGGTCACTTCGCAGTGACCTTGCTGGACGATCCCACAGCCCGTGGACGAATCATCCTCAGTGTCGCACACAATTGACCGACACTCTCCAAAATGATCCTTCTTCCCGTCCATGCTGAGAAGGTATTATGCAAGATTTGAAATGAGTGGCTGCGATGTGTCACAGATGCGAAAGGATGGCGCACCCCCTCAGGAAAGTTGTCTCTGCAGGTCAGCACTTTCACAGCTTCTGATTGCTAAAACCGAAACTCACACGACCTGCCAAACTTAGAAAGCCATGGTGTCTTAGATTGTTCCTTGTATGGCACTCAGGTCAAAAAGCAACACCTGGAGGGCTGTGCAACGCCGGAGTCTCGGGCGGCGGCTGCGCCATCGGGCCCCCACTTCCATTTCCAGAGTATGCCGGGCATGGGAAAGAAAGCACTAATGCCTTATCGCCCGGCCAGCAGCATACAGATACTGAAAATTTAGATTGTTTACCCCCTGTTAGGTTCCTTGATGCTACAGAATGTTTTTGGCATGCCTTCCAGCGACTTGGAAACCTAGCAATAGTCAACTGTATTTCCGTTGATTCGACACATCCAATTGAGTTAGAGACTCTCAAGGAAGCATCTATACTTGTAGCAAGAAGACACCAGGCTCTGCGCCTTGTCATACGACTAACGGACACCAACTCCACAACAAAACAACGGGCAAACGGAGATCACCACCCCTTGGTAGCTCACCAGAACCATCACGAGCTAGACAAAAGACGTGGAAGCGACGATCTGCTGAGCGAGGACTCCTCTGCAGGTGGTAGCGCGGAAGCATTCCCATCTGCTCGCAGCTTCTGCACAGCTGCAAGTTGCCGCAGCAGCAGCAACAGTTCAGGCGAGCGAAGCAGCATTAGTAGTGATGGCCGGCGTGGTGTATGGGGTTGGAAAAACCGTCGCAGTGCTAGCGAGTTCGGAAAACGTGGAACCAGCAATGGAGCTGAAAACAGCAGTGTTCGCAGCAGCAGCTGCACCAGTTGCAGGGGAGCCAGCAACGATTGCGGGAGTAAACAGACAGGGGCCGCGGGACTTTCACCGCCATGCAGCTGTAGGAAACGCTCCAATCTAAAGTTTACTTTCCATGAAAGACTGGGGGGGCCCATCGTGGATGTTAAATACGCTACCGTCAATAACTCGCTTTCCTCGGCAGGGCTCACATGGCAACAGAAGCACAGCGAGGGGACGCAGCTTGATTTGGGACTTCTCGAAGAATACCCCTGGATGAAGGCCATGGCATGGGAGCAGAAAACCCCCCTTGACTGTGAACATGGTGAGCACCCATAATAAAATGCTAATGCGTTTTTAGAGAGCATGTGCTTTCTGGCTCTCACTTGAGAAATCGATGTCCCTTGCCTTTTCTTATCTTTTCTCGGTGGTCTCAGAAACTACCTTCCGAAACCGCGCAATAATGCTCATATGCACTAATTTCCTCCCTAGTTTTGGTTGCCTTCTCAATGGATGGAATTTTCGTTTTTCCTGCGACTTGAGAAACATCGGAGCTTCAAACTGAGAGTTCGGACTCAAACCTCAGCATTTGCGGTTGTTTTGCAGGGCCTTTGTGGCGGCTGCGGCTGGTGCCTTCCGAAAAGATGCCATTTGTTGCGCCTCACGGCAACTCTATGCCAGCAGTCTCGCAAGCGGTCAGCGGTCTAAAGAGGCCTGCTACCAGTCCTGTCTACATGCAAGACAATTTGTGTGAGTTGCCTGTGGGCACAGTCAACAAGGGCAACGGCGCAGGGCGGCGATTTCGTACTCACATCATTGGAGTTTTCCATCATTCAACTATAGATGGACTTAGCAGAAAGGAATTTTGGGATGAAATTTTGCGGGCTATCATTGTTATAAGTAATGCAAAAATATATGCAGATTATGCATCGCGGGTCAAAGCCCTCACAGAGGCGACAGCAATAACCTCTCGCTCTTCGACCCACTTTCGCCAGCATACTCTCAGCTCGGAGCCAAGATTACACCAGCAGGGAAGCATGCAATTGGTGTCGAATTCTACTGCAGCTATGCAGACACCGCTCACTAGCCAGACGTACCGTTGGCGAAGAGGGAGTAGCAGCAACACCAATACTACACGGTCTAGTGGCACGGTATACTTGCGACGTTGCAGCGCAGGAAGCCCAAATGCTGGCGAGTTCCCCATAAGGGGGAAGGACTGCAGTGGGGATCCGTTTGAGTCGCCCTCAGCAAGCAACTGGTGTTATTATCGCCGGCTTTCTGCTGTATCTGCTGGATCTGTAGACAGCTCAGCAGCCTACCTTTCAGAGTCGCCACCTCAATCCACCAACTATTTGCCAGAGCTCCAGCTTCGTCCTCCTGAAACAATACTACCCCCAGCTCTAAATGAGCTTTTTCCAGTCAGTCCTTGCGTTACATTGCTTAGGCCATTGATGTGTGCAGGGTATGGGATACATGTGAGAATGTATATGTTGGAGAGAGAGTTGATGAAAGCGCTCCGAAATCCCTTTGCGGCATATTACCCATCCAAACGTTTCAGAGCTAGTGGGTCTGAATACAAAGCATACAACCAAGCCGCCAAAGCAGCTATTGCCGCGAAGTCGTCTCCTAACCAGCAAGCCAACCGCACTACGAGGAAAGCACCCTTGCGGGAACAAGGGGACGGTGAATTACCATTCCATAAATCTCATCCAGAAGAATGTAAAACATCTGGGGACGTAGCTTTGACCGGAGTGGTGACCCTTCGGCTATCTGAGGATCTCACCGCAGGGCTAATATCAGCGTGTAGGGAAAGAAAGATGACGATGAATGGACTAATTACAACAGCGGCAGCAGTTGCGCTGTCCCGGATGCTTTGGCGTAGGCAGCAGGTAATGCAACAGCACTGCCTCCTTGCCGAGCTCTCCCGCGTTGCTGCAGCTGCTAATGGAGCCCAGTGCTGGCCACCTCAGCAGCAGTCGCTGTGGTCCTCAGCAGCTGTGCAGCAAAACAGCACACACTTTCCAAGTGCACCCGACACCGGGACACCTTTCGCGGGAGCTGTTGCCCATGGTAGCAAGGAGGGCTACCTGCCTTCTGTGCTGGAATCTTCCCCAGCTAGCTCAGAGCTTGACTCAGGAAAGGCAGCAACCGCTGCTGGGGGGCAATCTCCGACTAGCTGTGACACTTGCTCAAGCATTCACAGCAAGGGACCAGTTGTTAGCCCTCAAAACACTTTGACCCCTTTCGAAAGCCCAAGTACGCCTGTAATTTCCAGTGGAAGCTTGGATCGGCTTCCGTCAGTCCAAGACATATTGCAAACGCCAGTACCAGGGGCTTGCCATAGCAGCAAAGAAGAGACTGGCACAACACTCCAGCGTTCAGCTGCAAGCGGTAAGAGTGCCGTCAGTCTGCGTAGTGGCTGGTCCGTATCCCATGTAAAGGAGATGCTGCAGCAGCTTACCTTGCGCTCCCCTGTTTCTGGAGAGGGTCTTCCTGGCGAATCTAACAGGCAGTTCATCAGGCACAAAGGCCCAGTATACATCTACAGTCTCCAGGCAATTAGCGGTCGCCGTTGGCTCGACAAGTGGTTGCAAGAGCGGAAGCGGCAACCACAAACGCCAGCGAGGGGCCGCAAGCGAATCCCTGGGGATGATAAACAATTCGAAGAGTTTCTGCTGCAGTACCTTGCCGTCAGCATGAGAAGCCACAGGTGTTCAAGGGCTCTTGCTGCTATAGCGGCAGCTTCAGTTGCACTTGGTGCATCTACGGGCCCTCCATCCCCCTCATTGCACTTGCTGTCCCCACGACAACCATCAAACCTTCCCGGAGGTAGAACCGGAAGCAGCAGCAGGAGCGCCAGCAGCAGCGGGAGCAGGTGCACCGCGCAACGAAGACAGCAAGGACACCCAAATGAATTTGGCTCTGATCGCCGTCCTGGGAGCGAAGCATTTTCCAACGAGGCAGAGAAGAAGAGGTGCGATGGCTCTACGAGTGCCGCGAACATTGCATTGACTGTGAACACTGCTGAAGTGTTGCAGAGGCACAGGAAAGCATGTGCTACGGAGAAAATAGCAGGGTCCCCCTGCTCCTCCAAGGGCAGTGTCTTTAACAAAGCTGCCGAGGGCTTCGTGGAAACAACGGGACATAGCTCGCTTTCTACATCCAGCAGTTTGCACGCAGTAAGTGCAGCTTCTTTGGACGACACTGTAGTCAGGTCATCCATTCACAGCTTAGCAAAGAGCAACAGCAGGGCAAGCTGTTCCAGGCGACTACACGATCACAGGCGCAGCGTTGCCAGTCGCATCACAAGAGGACTGCGGTTGATAACTCAGTGGATATGGGGATCTTCGAAACGCTGTACCACTGAAGAAGGCAGTGACGATCAGCCTGAGCAAACCAAGGCCCCGCCATATGGATTGGGATCCTACGCCTTTTTGATGCCATTGAAGCTCCGAGTGCCAGCCGAGTGCAATGGAAGAGCAGATGCCGTGTGGGCGCTTGGTAAGGCATGTACGGAAGCCGTGCACAGAATTGTATCATTGCCTAGTTCTTCTTTTGCTTTTTTCAACTTCCAGCTCATTTCTTCCTTCGTCGAAGAAGTTCGCGGGGAGCTAGAGTGCTTGCAGCCATTCAGGAACGACGCATTCGCCAGGCCATCGGCATTTCTCATCTCTAATGGAGGAGTTTGGGCGGCCAACTCCCTGAACAGATTTTCTGCCAAAATTCATGCACAGCTTCGTGAGGCTCCGGAACGGCATCTCAGGCTTCTGCACCGTGTAATTCAACATCAGATGGTCTTGCAGCAGCGGCATTCAAAAAAGCCGATGTTGCCGCCTTTGCCTGCGCAGCATTCATGCGGAGGAGGAGCAGCAGACGCAGCACTTAAAAGCAAGCGTCAACACGGAAGCCGAAGAACGGCATGCAGTAGCAAGTGCTCTGGTAGAGCTAATGATCAAATGACGGTGTCACCAGTGCTCGCAGCAACGGCTCTCTACGTAAGCGGCACTCACGTTGCGGCGGCAGACGGAAAGCTATCTTCTCACGTTATGTTTCCCAGTGGCCAAATGCCTGACGTGCAGCATCAGCAGCCGGTGGAAAAAGAAAATGCGAGCGGCCTGGAGTGCTTGGCTGGTGGTTTGGAAGAGCTGATGGCCTCGCTAGAGCCTTTCGACATATCTGTAGACAGCAGCTGGTCAATCGTCTCGCAGCACAATACTGGGCTCAACTACTTTGCGCATAACTGCGTGACAGTGAATGGAAAGATGAATTGGTCTCTTCAGTACCATTCTAATCTTACCTCTAGAGAGATAGCGGCACTCTATGCCTCCAACATTCTGGAAGTTCTGCAGGAGGCGTATGAGCTGCATGTCCAAGAAAAGGTGAAACAGCGGGGTCAGCAGCACTCGCAGGAAAATGAGTCCCCCAGTGCCTCCACACAACCTGGAGAAACTGGGACGTTTTAGAAGAGATATGACGAAAATATTGGGTCCTCGCGGGAGCAAACTTTTTCCAATATATTTTTTTGGCTTCACCGGGGCCGTAACACAGGGTCTCCTCCCCTTGCTTGTATATGCTGCACAAGCGGTGTGCCGCAGGCATGCGTAACACATTCAAGAGCTTAGTAAAAAAAATATGCTTCCGAAGAGCATATCGATATCTGTAGGCATACTGGCTTTGACTCAGCAGCGACTTCGCCGATTTTTTTGACCACGACTGTCTGCGGGACCCATATTCTCTTGCGCTTCATCGACCAGCTAGTTTGTAGCAATAAAGAAGCCTTTTTGAGTTTTACACCAACATCTTAGGCCTCCGAATAATCCTGGAGTTCTAGGTCATTGCAGAAAGTCTTGAAACGCCCAAAAGTGCACGATTTTTCCCTTAGAACAACCAGGCAACACCTGGCTTCTCCCTGCCGGGAGCTTTGGCGGTGCCTCTTGTGGTGCCTGGCATGAGGGGAGCTTCGGAATACCAGCTTTCACATAACCATGGATGATTTTTTCTATGTATAGGCGGCTCAGGGTAATATTGATGCAGTGTTCAGATAGGGGAGAGGGTGCACAAATGATCAAATTTTACTCAATCCCTATAAATGGGGTGGAAAAACTATACATGCACTTTGGGCCAGAAATTTGCACAAGCAGTTGGCGTTGTAAAGTTCCCATGTTCCAGAACAAAAATAAGTCGGCATACCTTGCACCACTGCGATGAGCAAGTTCGTGGCTATTGCCTATTCAGAGACGTGTCAGATTTGAGAAGAACACACACAACGAGGTCTATCTCCACTCAAGCGCGAGCACTGGACAGACTTCGATGAAGGGTCACCGCTCCACGAGCAGTATACGCTGGAGCTGCAATCCAGTGGAAATATGGCTAAGCCGTGGGAATACAAAAATGGTAAATGCTGGGGAGGAAATGATTTTTTCTTTGAGGAGCAACTTTTTCGAGCCAAGCCTGCTGGGTCACTCTGCGTGTTCATTCTGGCCGCCAAGCAAGCAATGTTTGGCTTTCCACGGAAGAATGGTCCCGTGCATGCTCAAATCAATAAGCAAATGCATAGTTCATGGCATATCTAGGCCTAGTGTACTGAATTTCATGGAACAGTCCACCAGTTCTAGGCCTTTCGCCCCACAGCGGCGGCCCAGTCAGTGCGTGTTAGGCTTCGCAACATTCTACGCCTAGAGGGCTTTATTTGGGCTGCCTTTGCAGCGCTATTTCATAAAACAGTAGCAATTAAACTGTTTTATACAGCAAAGACCTGGCATATTTTCCAGGTGAAAGCTAACATTCGTCTTCGTGTGTTGCCTCCCGGTTAGACTGTATCCCCCCTATCATGGCTTCAGCGACCCACAAAGAAGAACATTAACCAAATTTCTCCCGCTGAAATTCTACTATGCATTCTTTTTATATTATTTGGACACCTGAGGCATGCTAATTTGGAAACCGAATGCCCCCCTTTACTGAGCTCGGGTGTAGCAGCAATACGCTGGACCAATGGTAAAGAGTCCACTAGCGAGTGACCCATATGTCGTTCTGGCCCAACGAGCTTCTCACCACTCGGTCTTCAAACGAGCGGAAAAAATTAGTCGAGCCGGCCCAGCATGAGCGTAGCCAGACATGCAGCTACTGCAGCCGTGGTGGTTGCATGCCTGTTTCTCTGGCCTGTTTTGGCCAAGCCTGACCCAAAAAGCAGACCCGCAGGCAACGCTCCCAGAAATTGCCCAGAGCCATATGTGATGGATCCAACAGGCGTGAGCATATCCACACCGCGGACGAACTGCTTTAAGCTCTGTCACGTGTTGTTAAAACCAAGAGAAATAGAGAATGTAGCGCCACCCCTAAACTTCGCCTATGTAGCAGTGCTTGTAGGTGTCTGCTCACTCTGTGCTTTTCCGATCGGAGCGCCTTTATTACAGGTAAGGTGCACCATGACTCACGCAATGCCGCCGTTGAAGGTATGCCCTAACGGAGTGCTGCGGGACGAAGTGTGCTTGATGTTTGCCCCACCTGACTGCACTACGTGTCCAGGAGGCTTTACAGAGTATACTGTCGATGGCATCAAGGAGTGCGTTGCGACGAGAGTGGCTCGCATGAAAATGGCTTGCTGGGGACCCCATGAGAGGCTGGAAGGAGATGTCTGTATCGAGGTAGGGGGAATGTGTGCGCCCAAGGCATCCAATTTGGGTGTCTCAATGTGTGTAACAAGGTGAATAGTGCATTCGAGGCACCAGCAATTACTTCAAGACTGGGCAGCTTGTCACAGAGAATTCTGGTTTTGCTGCATTGTCACTGTGGCAGCGTACGGTCCGGCCACTCATCATGGAATGCATGAAAGGAAACCTTAACCTCGAAAATAAATGTGAATTTATCGATGCAAAGCCACCGAGGGCCGTCTGCAGCCCTGGATTCTTCGAGTCAGACGGATTATGTATACAACGTAGAGAAGCACCATGTGACGACTCACTTGATGACTCCTCGCTGCCCTGGACTGAAAAATCAAAATCAATGAAATCTAGCACCGAATTTAGTGGGAATGTCTATCAAAAGGAAAGCGACCTTCCAAACTTCACCGCAAAAGAGGTGAGCAATTATTCCACGATTTTTCCACACTGGGAGCTGCCTGGTCAATCATTCGACGAATTCACCGCTTCTGAAGCACACAACCAATATCCATTTGGAAGAGTGACTGCCACGACGGATATGCTTTCTACCACTGGGCTGGAGCAAGTATCGAATTATGGAATGGAAGAATGGGACTTCTCTACGAATTATGACGAGCTTACGGAACACGAACACGGCCAGCGTTGGGACACTGCGAACAGAATCTCGGGATTTTCACGTGCCGTCGCCTCATCAGAGTTTCTCTCCAATGAAGTGGTTGGGCGCAGACTTGAGGCCGCCAAATTACCATCTGACCAGTCCATGCGAGCAGTGCAAGGTAGTGAACTCCAAAATTCAGGGCACCGTCCACCGCTTTTGAGCGCAAGTGCATATTTTTCCAGAGAAAATCCAAGAGCAGTGTGGCCACGAACAGAAGCATCAACAGCACGCTCTTCTTCAGGACCGCTATATGTTAATATGATGTGGAATTCCCCCGTCCGTCCAGCCTCTTCGCTGTTTCAGAAAAACAATCTTTTGGTCCCTGATACGACGCCGGGAATACCCACAACCCGTCCGCACCACGTTCCGGTTTACCGGCTCTGGCACGACCAACGATTTTACCATGAAGCCGCTGGGAAGCAAGGCCCATTTGCACGCCAGCAGCTACATTCAGCAAACTTGTTTGAAGAGGGCTTTGAAACGCACTTGCAGTCCCACGTACGCAGGGAGGCGCCACAAAAAATGGTAACGCACGTGCGCTGGAGCGCTAATGATCCTGCGGGAGCGGATGGAGCCAGCAGTAAGGGGAAGAGTAGCTTTCACTCGCAAGCCAGCGCAGACATTCTTTCGTCCTCGAACAGTGTGTTTCAAGGTGAGAACGAACAAACTGTCGACAAAGAAAGCGGCACTGCAAATGTAAACGCTCACCAACATCACTTGGTGCTCAATGGTCGCCAATTCTTTAGAAATGGTCCTGCACAGAAGAAACGAAGCGACGCGAAGGAACATTGCACTAATGAACAGTGCAGAGGAAGTCGCGGGCAGCTAAGTAGGCGCAGCTCTAAGGACAGCTCTTCACAGCGGTCTTTCCAGGATAAAACAGACGGAGATGTGCAGTATTTGCATAGAAGGCGCCTTGAAGCGCTAGACTACATACCAGGCTGCTACGAAGTATGTCAAAGCCTTGAGAGCGCAAAAGGGCATTCCAATGCATTTTATGTAGACAGGTCGTCGCCACTATGCCTGAACATTGGTTCACAGTGAAGTCTTGGGTATGTGTTGTTTCTGTAGGAAGTAATAAAGGCACCTATTGACTGGGCTTGCGAGCCGAGCTTTTCTCTGGACCCCGAACAGCTTTTGTGCATCCGGATCGAGCTTACCAGTCCCAACATCTTATGCGATGGAATAGTAGAGGGAACCTCGTGTGTTCACGTGGTAAGCTCTTTTGACTTTCTGAGGAAATATGCTGTAGAGCATCAACTTCATGCGCTTGCGAGTAACAATTTGCTGCACTCAAGATGTGACTCACTTCAACTAAGAGCACAGAGCATAACGTGCCCTGAAGTACCTGTGAATTTTTTTTTCGTGGATAGCGATGTAACATGACCCTCGGCGACAAGCTTTCATGACGTTATTTGAGTCTCCACAGGTTCAAAAACCTCCTCAGTGGTATTGCCCTCTCGACCCTCCCCCTAGTAGCAAAGAAAAAGAGAACAACAAAAAGCAACTACCAGAGAAATCAAAAAAGCAAGACGAAAAGCAGCCTGACTCAGGTAAAAAACCAAAGGAATCGAACAAAGCAGAGAAAGCAAAGCGAGCCACCAAAGAACCAGGGGGAACCAGAAACCCGAAGAAGCCTGAGGCATTGGCTGAAAAACGCAAAGACGGCGGCGAGAGCAGCGAAAAAGACAGAAATGGCAGAGATGGTGAGGCAGAGAATAAAAGAGCTGAGAGCCGTCTAAAGGCAAACGAATCAAGTGCCTCGGACAATAAACCAGAGACTGCCAACAATGACACAAGGAAACGGGACAGTAGAAGCCAGCGGCAGCCCCCGGAGGGCAGCGAATCCTCGGACACGAAGCCTGATCCTAAAAAGGAATCCATCAAGGAAAGGCAGCAGGGTACTACTTCCTCAGGAAGTCAGCCATCCTCTAATACGGGGCAAAACCGACGCAGACAACGCCGCCCAAACGCCGCAAACAATGAAACCGGAGTAAATGAAGAAAAAAGACGAAGCGCTGACGATGAGCAGGGAGACAGGACAAGCACTCAACCTACGGAGAGAAACGAGAATAGCCATCAGGAAGGATCCGGATTGTGCAACCGGACAAATTCTCGCACGGGTAATTCCGTAGACACTGACGACGATGCACATTCCGCATCGTCTGGTGCCCAAAAAAGTAGAAACGAGTCTCAGACATCGAGTGCAGAAAGGCAAGAAAGCACCAAGCACACAACTCCAAGAAGGCGACGAAGAGACTCGACGGAAGACCAGCAAAAAGAAGACACACACAGCGCGAAGAAGGAAGACAAACAACAAAAAGAGGAACAAGGTAGAGATGATTCGGCGGACGAATCAGAAAGCGAACAAGAGAGGCGACAGGAGCGCCGGAGCCGAGCGGCTGAAGCGGCACGCTCAACAGACGGACAAGGTCCAGAGAGAGAAGAAGGTTCGAGCAGTGCTCCTGCTGCTGATCGCCAGCGGCGTCAGCAAGGCCGAGGGCAGCGGCCAACTCCAAGAGGAGAAAGTGGTGAAGAGGATGAGCGGAACGGCGACTTGACGCGTCATGTTCCAACTCGAGAGGACTCCACAACGCAAGGTCGTACAAGGCGGCAACCGCCGCAGGCGCAGCAAACGCGAGACGGGTCACGCGCAAACGAGGGCGGGGCAGGGGAGGAAAAGGAAGAAGCCACAAGGCGCTCAGAGGACGGAGCAGACAGCGAACAAGAGAGGCGACAGGAGCGCCGGAGCCGAGCGGCTGAAGCGGCACGCTCAACAGACGGACAAGGTCCAGAGAGAGAAGAAGGTTCGAGCAGTGCTCCTGCTGCTGATCGCCAGCGGCGTCCGCAAGGCCGAGGGCAGCGGCCAACTCCAAGAGGAGAAAGTGGTGAAGAGGATGAGCGGAACGGCGACTTGACGCGTCATGTTCCAACTCGAGAGGACTCCACAACGCAAGGTCGTACAAGGCGGCAACCGCCGCAGGCGCAGCAAACGCGAGACGGGTCACGCGCAAACGAGGGCGGGGCAGGGGAGGAAAAGGAAGAAGCCACAAGGCGCTCAGAGGACGGAGCAGGCAGAGAACAAGAGAGGCGACAGGAGCGCCGGAGCCGAGCGGCAAAGCGGCACGCTCAACAGACGGACAAGGTCCAGAGAGAGAAGAAGGTTAGATCAGTGCTCCTGCTGCTGATCGCCAGCGGCGTCCGCAAGGCCGAGGGCAGCGGCCAACTCCAAGAGGAGAAAGTGGTGAAGAGGA